AAGCCCTTTGCTTTGAGGCTTCACAAGTAGTGGGAGGGGAGCAGCCCAGGCTCAGGGCTTGGGGGGTCTGGCTGCTGCAGGTGGGGGGTGCCCATGGCCCCCCTCTGGGGGTGCTGCCCCCTCCTGTGTGGGGGTAAGGGTGTGATCGCCCAGCCTCGGCTGCAGGGACCGAGGGGAGGTTTTGTCAGCATCCTGCTTTTATTGCAGGGACGCTCGATTCCAGGGAAGGGAGCCTCCGACTATTTACAGAGAAATATCCCCACTTAGGGAGCGATCACCGTGTTGCATACACCCAAACCGGAGCGCTGGGGAAGCCCGCGGCCTTGCTGGAAAGCTTTGCCCTTTGGCCACAGCTTCTTGCATGGGCACGTTTCGTCCCTCCCTGCTGCCGGGGCTGACATTGGCAGATTCCAGGCAGGAGAGGGACCGTGGGGCCCAAAGGACACCCCAAAAAGCGTGGCGTTCCTGGGACCTGTTTGCCAGAGGAGATGGAGGCTCGCAGCCTCGGAGGGATGACAAGGAGCAGGAAGGGCTCCTTGCCGTGGCCACCCACCCTGCTTGATGGAGGCTGTCTGACCTGGCCGTGCCAACTCTCCTGACTGCCCCTCTCTTTTTTTTAGGACTATAACATCGACGAGGAGGCAGCGTTGCAGGCTGCCCTGGCACTGTCGCTCTCCGAGAACTGAGGGTGCCTGCGGAGCATTGGTTCAGACCCCCATCGCACCCCGTCTCCTTTTGCACACTCGGCCTTCCTGCCGGGGAGGCACGGAGCTCGTCAAGCCCCTGGCACCCCCGGAGACCCGCTGCCACCTCTCTTCCCTCTCCTTTCGGGGCAAATCCCACCTTGTTTAAGAAGGTGGAGTCTCTTTAGCCTCACGCTGGACCAGTGAGTGAGCAGGGACGGCCGCTGCTGGGAGGAGAGAGGAGTCGGCACCGAAGGGCTGGGATCGTTCCTCGGTTAGGCATTTCATATCCGTATACGGAGCATATACCTGTATCCAGATCTATTTATTATTAGATGCTTTTTGGCACCATCTGTCTTCACGCTCTCTGTTGCAATTGAATAGGTACGTAAAACTATGATGCACTTTATGCAGAAATGCCCTAGTTTGAAACTGCAATCATCCACGTCCTTGTTGAAAAGGAAGAAGACGGCATGGAGCATCTGTCTTTTTTTTAAACCCTACAAGGCTGTTTCCAGAGACGTCGGGCTGTCCCGTCCCCCGTGCTGCAGGCAGGAGCTGCCTCCTTTGCCTGCTCCTGCTCAGGCCAGGCTGAATCCCGGGGCGAGACGGTTGCCCTCGTGTGCCCCGTGATGACAGTGGCTTCGGAGGAGTCCGCAGGGGTGGCGTCCGGCGTCCAGTGAAATTCTCACCTTCCTCGTTTTGTACCGGCTCTTGTGATACTGAGTTCTTGCATTTTTCTACATTAATCGGTGTGATGCCTTTTCCACGTTTTATACAGCGGGAACAGAAGCTGTTACTCTTCACACTGCAATATCCGTCACCGGGGACAAGAGTATTTTTATGGAACATTATTAAGAAAGTCTATTTTTTAAAGGAAAAAACCCAACAAACGAACATGCTGTGGAGTTGAAATCGGGCAGGAGGCAGGAGCTGGACCCCGGGCCGGCGGGTGGGACTCTGGGGGGGCCGTGGGACGCGCGCGGCTGTCCTCCTCGGTTATTTCTGGGCCGTTCCCTTCCCTTGTCGGCGTCTTTCTCCGCAGGCGGGTGGTGATGCAGGAGAGGCCGGGTCCGAGCAGCACCTCATCAACCGGAGGAACGGGTGCCCAGCGGCTCGCCGGGCCACTTTTTTGAGGAGCGGCAGCACTGCTTGCGTTCTCCAACAGCTGCTTGGTCGTCCGTGCTCTCTGAGCTGCTGACCCTCTCTCTGAGCTGCTAACCCTCTCCAGGACGTGCGGTTGGGCTCAGGACGGCTTAACCCTTGCAGGCAGAGCTCCGTGGCAGTGCTGGACGTGGCCGTGGGCAGGGCGTAACCTGGAGCAGTGGTTTTCTGTCTGCGAGGGAGCAGGCAGGTTAGTTGTGGCACGCCGGCGCTCGGTGCGGAGCAGCTGGGTTGCGTCTGGGCGATGGGTGTGCGGAAGGGACATCTGTCCGTGCCCGATCCCATCCCCAATGCTGAGCATCTTGTCCCCGTGAAATAAGGGATTGCAGCTCCCTTTTCCAGGTCTGTCCGTGGGAGTAGGGCACAGCTGGGCAGATGTTGATCCGAGAGGTGCTCCATAGCATCCCGGTGCTTCCTCTCTGCCCCTGCTCTGCTGGGCTGGGAGAGGGTGGAAGGGAGATCTCCTCTGCCAGGCCTTGGGCGGCCCCGCCATGCAGCAGAAGTTGAGTCCCGTCAGAGGGCTCAGCGCTGGTGCTGTGGGTGAGGAGCTTTGTGCTGGGACCCTGCCACCCCTCGGGCTCACACCGGTGAGGGGATCAGCCCAAGGCTCACGGTGAAGGGACCGCGGGGAGGTGGGGATTCACGATACTTGCGGACCCGCCGTGCTGCCTTCCGGCAAGGGTTTGCAGAGAAGAGGTGTGGGAGAGCAATCCCTCTGCACATCCCTGCTCAGAGAAGTGCCCTTTCATGGTTTATCCGAGACCTGGCTCCAGCTCTGCTCTAGCAATACCGTCTTGTTTTTTTACTTTTGATTTAAATAGTACTGGGTGGTTTTTTGGGAGCTGTGAGCTCCCTCATGCCGCCGGCAGCCCTCCGAGGAGCGTGCGGAGACCCTCCGCTCCCCTGGCAGAGGGCAAGGAAAGGGCTAGAGCTGCTCCGCTCCCCTCCCTCGGGCCGGGCTAGCGAGGAGCGATGGGGTCTTCTACGGCATTGCTGGCGCCTGCCCAGCCGGGGGACATCCCCGGTGGGACAGAGAGCACCGGCATCTCCCAAAAGCGACCCGGGAGGCTTTCCCTGTCCCGTCCTCGGGTCCCAGAGCAGCCTCCATCAGAGCTCTCACTTGCAGGGAGCTCCCTGCCTCTGGGACAGCACTATTAACCTCTGTCTCCTTCCTCCCTTCCTCCTCCTCTTCCTTTTTGCCCCGCAACGCCAGAGCAGGGGCAGCAAGAGCTGCTTTTGTAAAGCACTTTAAGGCCCGGGCTGCGAGGGCGCAGGCAGGTGCTGCACGGGGTCGGGTCCGGCTCTGCCCGCCGGGCTGTGCCGGGGATCGCACCGTGCCCCCGGCCGCGCTCGTCCCTGTGTTACCCGCCACTTTTTGCATAACTAGAACTTTTAATGAGACCTACCGTTTTTTTGAAGAAAAATAAAATCAATGATGTATTTGTAGCAAACCATTTTTCTCAATAAAGGCAGTTTCATCCACGGGTGGCCTCCCTGCCCCGTCTCTGCCGGGGCTCCGGGGTGCAGGACAGGGCCGGGGGTGGGTGCCCCCCACCCTGCCTTATCTGGGCTGCTCCTTCCCTGAACGCAGGCCTCGTCTTCACAGCTTCGTCCCATTAACGGCAGCGGTTTGGCGATGCCGTTTCAGCACCCCGGGCTCCCCAAGATCAAGCACTTCACTGTCGCGGGGCCGGGTGTTGCCAAACGTGCCGGGGGGCTTGGCGTGCTGCTGGGGGGGATCCCCCCGCACCCCCTCCCTGGCAGCCGGGTGCTGGCGCTCGGAGGGAGGACGCGGGGAGGACGCTTGGCACCACGTGCTGTCCCCAAAGGCCCGCTGGGCGCTGGCCAGGGGAGCGCAGCGGGTGTTTCTTCCCTGGGTGTCCCTGGGAGGTGTCCTGGCTCCGAGCCCCCACGGGGCTGTCGGGGCTCCCCCGGGACACGGGCTGGCTCTGCGCAGCCCATCCCTCCAGCCTGGGCAGGGGCTGTACCCGCCTCCCTCTCCTTGGGGGACCGATCCTGGGAGCAGCCGCTGGTGTCCCCTCGGAGGGGTACAGGGGTTCGCCCTTGTCCTGGTGCTGGCCAGAGCGTGGCTCCTGTCCCGGGGACAATAAAAGTCTTGGGGACACAACGGCCAGGGCTGATCACTTTGAGGAACCGCCTTACCTGCTCCCCAGCCCTCCCCGAACAGCCCCTGCGAGGCTTTCCGGGACTGGGAGGGCACTGTGGTGGAGGGGACGGGCGTGTGGCCACGCGGCCCCGCCGGTGGCTGCCTGTCCCCGCGGGGAGAAGGGGTGTCAGGGGTCCCCGTGAGCAGGGGGGCCTGCTCCGTCCTACGTCGGGGGGGGTCACGCCGGGTGCGAGCCAGCCCAGCCAGGCCAGGGGATGCTGCGGGCAGCGGGAGCCCATCTGCGGGGCGTGTGGGGTGGCGGTGACAGGGGACAGGGTTGTCCCCAACGCCGTCCCTTGCACCTGCAGCGCGGCGTGCTGGCGGCCAAGGCCAGCCCTCGGGCGGCGGTTGGCCCCGGGGCTCCCCGGGGGCTGCCCATGCTAATGAGCCCTGGGGCCTTATGGCACCTGCTGGCACCCGCAGAGACACGGCGTGGGGACACGGCGTGGGGACACGGCACGGGGACACAGCCCTGCTTGGCCTGTCCGTCGCCCTGCCTGTCTGGCCATGCCCCGCTCCTTCCTGGTGAAGAAGCCCTCCAGCACCCGCATCCCCAACTACGGCCAGCTCGACACCCGTGCTCGCGGTAAGGCTGCACGGCTCTGCCAGCACCGGGGACCCCGGGACCCCGGGACCCTCAGCTCCTGTTGCCACCCCGTGCCTGATGGTGGTCAGGGGTCCCCAGCTGGGCTTGGGGTGATGCCCCATGCCACGGTGCCGGGGGGCTCCCTGGCTCTGTGCCCCATCCCGGGTGGCTCGGCCAGGCGGAGATGCCGGTGATAGTACCGGGGGGGGAGAAAATTGGGGTCACCCGGGGGCTTCCCAGGGCTAGGCATGCGGGACCCTCCCCTCCAGCAAACCCCCGTCCTCCCCACCCGTATGGGGGTCCCTGTGCTGCCGGGGGGGTGAGGGTGCTGGAGCAGGTCAGGGCGTGCCTGTCCCAGGGGATGCCCAGATTTTGGGGTGCGTCCAGCCCCAGGCAAGCCAGCACCCGGGCACAAGCTGGGCTCCAGCAGGCACTGGGGGTGTCTGTGACTCCCCTTTTGGGGGGCAAGGAGGGGTTTTGCTCTGTTTTGCAGTGGGTGTATCAGTTCTGCCATGCACAGGGGTGGGAATGGAGGCGGGGGACCTTGTGCCTGACCCCAGGGGGCTCCAGGGACCGGGTGGGTGGCGCGGCTGCCATCCCTCATCCCTTAACCCCCCTCCCCTCTCCTGCAGAGCTCGACGGCGTGTGTGACTGCGGGGGGCTGCTCCCCCCCGGCTGCCACCAGCCCCCCGCGCCCCCTGCTCCCCCCCTCCTGCAGGGCCATGGCCGCCTCCTCGTCCGCTTCTCCCTCCCGCTGCCCCCCGACGCCAAGGCTCCCCCCGTCCCAAGGGGCACCCAGAGCCCAGGCACCCCCCTGAAGGACACCCAAACCCTCAACCTGCCCCCGCGGCGGCGAAGCTTCAGCTGCCGGCACTGCACCCGGGCGTACGCCAGCCTGGGTGCCCTGAAGATGCACCTCCGCACCCACACCCTGCCCTGCCTCTGCCGCCTCTGCGGCAAAGCCTTCTCCCGGCCCTGGCTGCTCCGGGGCCACATTCGCACCCACACAGGTAAGGATGGGACCCCCGGCTGCTGCTGGCCCCACCGGCACCTCTGCTTTTTGGGGATGATGGGTGCAAAATTGCCGTCTGTCCGGGCTCGGCGTCGCTTGCTCTCTGGGAGGGACCTGCCTGGGGTGGGATCCCGGTGCTGGGGCCGGCTGGGGTGCTGGCACGCACCGCGGGTCCTGTGGGAGCCCCCAGGGCAGGTGCCACTGCTATATCGCCTACCGGGAAGGCACCGATGGCTTTCGGGGACTCCTGGGAAGCGCTGGGGGTCTGGGGTAGACATGGGGAAGGGTGATGAGAGCAGCACGGGAGGGGACAGGGCATGGGGGGTCGGGAGGACCTGGGGTACGGGGGTGCCCTGACCACGTGTCCCGCAGGGGAGAAGCCCTTCGCCTGCCCCCACTGCAGCCGGGCCTTCGCCGACCGCTCCAACCTCCGCGCCCACCTCCAGACCCACGCCGACGTCAAGAAGTACCGGTGCCGCGCCTGCGCCAGGACCTTCTCCCGCATCTCGCTGCTGGCCCGGCACGAGGAGGGGGGCTGCTGCGGGGCGTCCTGAGCCCCCCGCCACGCGCAGCCCCTGCCATGCTGTGCTGTGCCATGCTGCACCGTGCCGTGCCGTGCCGTGCCATGCCATGCCATGCCAGTGCAGCACCCCAAGAAGGGACATGAGAGCATCAGACAGGACTACCTGGACTTTCCCAGCGGGTCGCTGAAGCCCCGTGGCTGCTCCCCGGTGGCTCTGGGGCTGGGGAACACGGTGCCTGGCCCGTCCCCCCACTGCTCTCGGGCACCGGGGAGGATTCTTACGCCTTACATCGCAGGAGACATTAAAACCAGAGCCCAGCGCCGCGGATGTGAGCGGAGAAAAGTGTCCCTTATTGCTGCTGGGGCTGTCCCTGCTCGGCTGGCATCGCGTCCCGCCAGCCCCAGGGCAGGATCCGGCCGGATTCCGGCTGCCAGCCCCTCTGTGTGTTGTGTAGAGCATCCTCCTCCTCCTGCATCCCTGCAGCTCCCTGCCCAGAGAATGGGGACAGCGCTGCCCTGGCTGTGCTCTTGCCCCAAAAAAGGCACCCAGTGGCTTTTTGGGCTTGAGGCTGCATGGCCTGGCTGAGCAGGGCTGGGATGGCAGAGACGGTGGGGACAAGGACACCCCGCAAGCGGCCCTGAGCACCCCCGCAGTGCGGCGAGACTCGGGGTGATGGTGGTAGGACCATCCCCGCCGCGGGGGTCCCGGCACCCTCCCCACGGCCCCGCGGTGGCGGGGGCAGCCTCGTCCCCGCTGGTGCCACCCCGGGTGCTGGGGCACGGGGAGGGGGACGGTTTGGGTGGGTGCCGGAGGAAGCCGCCACGTGCACCCCGTGCTATTTTCAGCTCTGCCCGGCTAAATCGGGCCCCGCACCTGTGCCGGCGGCGGGGGGAAAGAATCCCACACCCCAAAATAGCCGCGTGCCGGCCTCTCCCCTCCCGCCCATGGAAAATGCTTATAAATACCCAGGGGGCACGGCTGGGGAGCCCCCGCCCCACCACCGAGGGGGTCCCCAAAGCTCCCCAGAGGGGTGGGATGGGGGGGGTGCTGCTCCCCTCATCCCCCCGGCTGTTTGTTTGGGGTGGGATGGGGCCAGCGGTGACCCCGTGGGAGCCGTGTCACCCGTGTGCCTGGCATGTCCCCCCGCCACCCCCGGGCACCCGGATTTGTGGGATATTTTCCACTGCGAGCGAGTGACCGGAGGATAAAAATACCCCGAGGGGGGAGGACACACATGGGGTGTCCGTGGTGGCGGTTTGGGGCCACCCAGGGGAGTGGGGTTGGCTCCCAGCCCCTGGCATGCTGGGAGCACTGGGCGGGGGGGCACTGGGAGTACTGGAGGCTCTGGGGCTACTGGAGTCACTGTGAGCACTGCGGGGGGGTGGGAGCACTGAAGGGACGCCAAGGGCACTGGAGCACTGGAGGGACACTAGGATATTGGGGTACTAGGCATACTGGGAGCACTAGGGACTGCAAAGGCACTGGGAGCATGGGAGACACTGGGCATACTGGGACAACTGGGGCCCACTGGGACCAACTGGGAACACTGGGAGAGTACTGAGGATCTTGGGAGCACTGGGGTGTGTGGGGTGCAGGGGTCTTGGGGAGCACTGGAGACACTAGGGCAGTGCTGGGGTAACTGGGAGCACTGGTGTATCGGGGGTACTGTGGGCACGGGGAGCACTGGGGTAACACTGGAGCACTGGGGTGTTGGGGATACAGGGGTGTTGGGGGCACTGGGAGCACTGGAGGGGCACTGAGATATTGGGGTACTGGGCATACTGGGAGCACTGGGGGTTGCAAAGGCACGGGGGAGTGCTGGGGATATTGGGAGCACTGGGGTGTGAGGAGTACAGGGGTGCTGGGGAGCACAGGAGGCATGGGGGAAGTACTGGGGACACTAGGGCAGTGCCGGGGTAACTGGGAGCCGTGGTGTATTGGGGGTACTGTGGGCACGGGGAGCACTGGGGTAACACTGGGGCACTGGGGTGTTGGGGATACAGGGGTGTTGGGGGGCACTGGGAGCACTGGAGGGGCACCGAGATACTGGGGTACTGGGCATATTGGGAGCACTGGAGCGGCACTGGGCCACCGGGCGCAGCTCCTTCCCGACTCGAAGATGGCGCCCCCGCCTACCCGG